TGATGGGAAAAAAATGGTTGCATTACTCATTGAGGTAAATGCAGACACATGTTTTTCTCCTTGTCTGTGTATCTCTTCATTCACTCATTTACCCATTAATTGAATCCAGGCTATATAATAAGTAGGATCTGTTTTTCTTGCTACTTTTCCTTTTGGCTTTCATTTCTTACTCTCACTTCTATGAGTAAACTGCAAAAATGAGGAAGATTCTGTTTATGTCCTAGGTTTAATAATATTACTATATCTAGTAAAAAAGAAGCAGCATTTTGGGCATTTTTTGTGTTTTTTAAATTATATGTTACATTATAGACAGCTGACTCTGGTAAAGGCTAGGCAAACTAATTTTTACTGTCAGGTACTGAGTTGGACTTCAAGAAAACTGATAAAAATAGTTTCGGAATTTGTAAATTGTCAGGAATTTTGGAACTTTGTTTTGTATCATAAGTGAGGAAACAAAGATCTAGAGAGAGTGATCCTTACTCAAGGTCTTAGAGTTTATTGGTGAAGCCTACTTTAAAAATAGAATTTATCACTTAACAAATTGAAAAGAACATAGATATATATTTATGATTTAGCACCTTCAACTAGGAAATTACTAGCAAAAGAAATAGTATGGGTTTGTGTTGGTAAGCTCTATTAGGTTTGTTTATAAAAGCTTTTAAGATTGTATTGTATTAAGTTGTATTAAAATGACATTAAATATTATTGGGCCTCATAGTAGGTATTAACACTTTCTGTTAACTTTTCTCTTAGATATTAATTGTAGGAGATTCATTTTATAATTAAAGTATCCAAATTAAAATATTTTTGATAAAAAATGAGATTATTTTGGTCCTCTTCTATTTTAAATTTATTTGAAAAATACATGCAAATCCTGTTTTTTAAAAGTCATGGAATATTAACTTGCTCTGGACTTTGAAGCAGGGGTTATATACATTTAATTAATCTCCCCAACAATAACAGAAATAAAAGTTGTGTTTTTCATAAAATAGCCATCGGATCCTCAAAAATAAATTATTTTATTTCATGTAGTTGGTAAATTACATTTTATGTGTTTGTGTGTTTGATGTACTACTATAATTAAAGGTAGGATTTATTGTGTGGACTCTGTGTGGCCAAGGAATTAAAACTCAGGTTTTCACTAGCACTTTTAATATGATACCATTACCAAAGAAATACCACATTGTTAGAAACTAAAACTATTCAAACTATTCAATACGAGTTCAAATTCCCCTTGTAACAGTATTAATAAACACTGGCACAACAAAGACCATGTAAGTGTTTAAATTTTTTCCCTCCTAATTTTTTTGTACCATCTTATTCAAGTTGTTTCGAACATCTAAATCTTCTATGTCAGCAGAAATTGGAAAATTTTGTAGCTTGGCATTATTATCATGCTGGTAGAAAAGTTATTCAGATCATTTTACTTACTATAACCTTTATAAATGATTATATTGATTATATTGAAATTAGCTTTTTTTTATTGGTTGCTTTGTATGTAACCGTATAATACAATAAGTATTCTTCCTTTTGATTCTCTGAGGAAGCATATAAGTTAGCTCTTATCAGGTGATTGATAACTCATTATATAATATACTTTGATTCAATGACTTAACTGACATTCCAGTAAGTTACTTCTGCAAATTAGAATAAATTATGGTGTTAAAGCATTTTAAAAACTGGTGACAGGTAACATTGATCAAACAATCGTTTATTTTAAACCTATGGATTTTATAATAGTTATAAATATTTAACAAAATTTTACTTAAAGTTTAGCTTGGAAAAGAGAATTTAGATCATGATTACTTACATTACCTTTAAAGTCATTAAGTTGATTATGTATAGCTCCAGAGTGCAGAGCTAAACTATTTGTCAAAAGATTTTCAGCCTCTGGGAAAGTGTCACTGCCTAGCCACTATGAATACAGTGGTTATACCAAAAAGGACGTGGTTTCTGCTTTCATAGGATTTATAGGCTAAATTAGGATAGATTTGCTGCCATAATAAAGACCTAAAATAAAGTGACAAGATAGAAATTTTGTCTCATGTAATAGCTGTATGCTGCTCCACTGTTCTAGGAACTAGGCTTGTAGCTTTGCTTGTTCCTGAGATATTGCCCTTGTATTTACAAAATTCAGGGTGGCTAGCCCTGTTTGCATTCTAGTCTGTAGAAAATGGGGAAACGGTGGGCATGCCCTGGTCTTTAAGACTATAACTTAGAAATGGCATACTTTGCTTCTGCTCGCATATTGTTGGCCAGAACTTGGTCACCTGGCCACACCTACTACAAGGGAGACTTAGAAATGTCCTGATATCTTAACATCAGGATTCTATTTCTACAGAAGATGGAGATAATCAAATAATGAGGGATAGCCTGTATAATTACACAGGAAACCTATGTCAAAATAATCACAAATTAGCATAAAATTGTAGCTATGTATAAAAAACACAAAGGGAGATAGTATGGGGGAATTTGTGCATAGGGAAATTAAGGAAGCTTTCTGAGAAAGTGAGAATTTACTGAAGAAGAGTAAGATCAAAGAACGTGTCAAAATGGCAGTAGTAAATATAACTTACTGTATAACTTGAAGTGCTTGGCAGTATACAGTGCATTTATTTATTTTGCTTCCTTGTACTTCCCCCCACCCACACACACAGCTTTGAAAGTTACTATGTTCCAGCCCTGTGCTAATAACAGTTTAATTTTATTTACTCCTTAAAATAATCCTAAACGTTAGTTCCTGTGGTTATTCCAAGTTTTGCAATCATGGATTGCTGTAAGCTTTGACCAGACATAGAGCAGGCAAGCGTCAAAGCCAGAACTCACACCTAGATCTTTGTGACTCCAATCTTGTGCCTGTTTGCCACCTTCCCCTAATGCATTACTACTGTTAATAGCAGTGTCATCTAGCTCTAGAAGCTATTTTTCTATTTTTATTGAGGCTACAATGGTTTATGATGCTATATGTGATTTAGAGGTATAAGGTCATACCCTGCAGGTACAATTGTTACCACACCACACCCCCGACCAAATCACCCAATCGTCCATTGTGCCCTTCCTCCTGGGCTATATTTTTGGAAGTAGGTTTGGGCACTGTATCTGTGAGGAATTTTCTAATAACAAACAATGAAAAATCGATTTAGTGACTTTAGAACTCAGATAATATTTAAAGAGATGCTTAAAAAGAAATATTTTTATTGTGATTTTAGAGATTAATGTGTAAGGTAAATTGTTCAACTTCTAATAGATCTTTCATCTTAAGATCCTGGGAATTTTTGTAACAAACATGTATACTAATTTATGTATTTTAATGCATAATTTGATAAGAATTGTGTAATATTCTAGCAGAAAAAAATGAAAAATGAATTAGACTTGTAAGACACTAGAATTTTGCTGTTGGAAAAATTTTTAAATAAATTACATTAATTTTTTTGGATTTTGTGTTTTTAGCATGTTTGTAAAGCACTTCAAGAGTTATACAAGGTTAATTGTTCAGCAGAAGATGTTTTCAACTTGGATTCTAGCACTGATGAAAAATTTAGCCGCCATTTAATATTTCAGCTCCATGATGTGGCATTTAAAGATAATGCTCATGTAGGTAAGTAGTATACTATTTTCTAAAAAATCATGGGAGTTAATATTAAAAACTTATTTTCCTTTTTTAAAAATCCTGTATCAAGTTTTATAAGTTTTGTTAACTTACCCTCAAAAATGTCATTTTTGTTTTTAGTATTTGCCCTTACCTCTAGACCTGTCTTCTGTTCTAGAAACCTATTCTGATATCCTTAGCATTGGCGCCTCCTGCTCTAGTTACTGGGATGACTGTGCACATACTGGTGCTGGTTTCTGCTCCACCAGAAGTCATTTCCTAAGTTTTCTTGCTCGTGGCACGAGAGGCCTAGTTTAAGTGCTATCTGTAATCTCCTTTCTGACCTTTACTCAGCCTTGCTTGAACCTTAGCTTGTAGTATATGAGGACTGGGGCTTGGATTCCAGGTCACAACCAGGAAGCCCATGTTTATTGTTTGAAGCAGAACCTGGGGATTGAGAAGTCTAGGTGTATAAGCCTGAAAGTGTAACCAGATTATTTGTTCCAGGACTGGACTTTTAGAATATAGGACCAGGTATAGGATAAAGTCAGTTTGAGGGGAAACAAGGAGGCCTAGAATAGAAACTGAAAACCAAGATCTAAATAGAACTCCAAATCCTAAATGTTTATCAAAGCATGGGTGGGACTAGTATTCCTAGGTCCAAACAGGAAACTGACTGAAGTTTAGGTAATCCATTTTAGAGCTACAAGCATCTGATAGTTTCAAGGGCAACTAAGGGTAAAAGGCATGAACACAACCACTAAAGTACTGCTATAAAAGTCAAGAACCTAATTGCTAGAAATTGGTAGCTCTAGGTCTGATCTACAGTTACGTACACACGTAGCACATCATAGCAGTCCATTTTCTGTTGGTTTATTTTTTTTAAAAGATTGATTTATTTATACAAGGACTGGGGTACAGGCCAGATGTATGGGAGGGTGAGAGGATTCACCAGAGACAGAGCAGGGAACAGAACAGGCAGACTGACAAAATACACTGCTGAGGAGAGCAGTGGGTGAGACAGGAGAGGTCTGCTGTGCCATGTGGGTTTCTCCCCGGCCAGCCTGGATCGAACCCGCACTGCAGAGGCTGAGGACAGCTTCATGGTGTGGTGCTCAACTGCCTGCACCACCAGGGAGGCCCTTCTGTTGGTTTAGTTGGACATTTCATCCTTGTTTCTTTATATTTCCTTGTATTATTTGTATTTCTTAGATATTGTTAATTATAGAATCTGTCTTTGTCTATCATGACTTTATCATTTATGTATTGATGACTTGCAAATCTTTATCTTCGGCCCATATTATAGATGCTGAACTCGTACTGCCACTGCCAGCCCCACACAGACTCTTCAACTTAGTCTGTTCTGGACTGAACTTGTTTTTTCTCCTGTGATTGTATATTAGTGAGTAGTATTACCCAATTACCAAGTAGAAACTCTGGTGTCCTCTTTAACATCTCTTTGTCTCTACCATTTAGTCAGCTAAAGTGATCCACTTGAAGAACCTCAAGGATGTATAATAATGTGATCCACTTGTATAATTCCTCAAAGATGATTTATTATCTTCAGGAAAAGACCCAGTGGCTTAGCTTACAAAAGGAGGTCTGCTGTGCTCTAGCCACATCTTTCTCCACTCAGCCCTTCTTACTCTGTCTTGTCTTTAGCTCCCACCACAGTCATACTTTCTCAGTGTTTGGGCCTTTGCACTTTTGGATTTGCAGTCTGACCAGATCTCAACAGATATGTTTAATTCACCTGATCTGCTCAGACTCAGCATAGATATTGTCATCTCAGAAACCGAGAAATTTCCCAAACCCTAAGAAATAGGTTAGAGTTTTTGCAAAGTGCCCAGTGCTTATTATGTCCAAACATTCACCACTTCCTGAAGTAACTGTAATTTCCTGTGTGTTGTTTTGTTTTGTTTTTTGACTTCTCTATTATACTTAATGTTGTGTTGTTGGTTTTTTAAGGGCAGGTATTGTTTCTTGTTCACTGTTGTATTTCCAGAACTTAACATGTAATACTACCTTTATCAGTAATAATACTGTAATAGTAACAGCACCAGCAATAATAAATGCAAGCAGGCATTTAATAAATATTTGTTAAGTGAATGACTAAGTAGCTCTACTGTCAGGTTGTGGAGGCAGAGTCCTACACAAGATATTTCTTTGGTTCTTATTTACTCCTTGTAGTCTACTCTGACTCCTAGCAACAAGGCTAAAAATTGAGATTCGTTGCTAGGGAAGAAAGGGAGAATAGAAATTTGTCAGATAATAAGCAGTCTCTGCTGCAGACGTCTTCTAAAAGGAGATAACTTTCAAGCTCTGCTTTAATTCAAATGCCATTGAATAGACAAAGATAAGAAGGACTTTACTATCAGAACAGCATAAGCAAAATTATGGAAGATGAGTTTGTAGCTGGTTTGGAGAGCAGGGATTCTCGTGTGGTTAGTGTGACTGACAATCAGATAAGTAGGATGACATCTGAGATCTCTTTCCTCTAAAATAGTGAGCTGCAGAACCAAATATGTGGGAAAAATTAAATAATCCAAATTTCCCTTCAATTCCTTTCCATCAATTTATCACTTGATGGCATCTGTTTCTTATTGTCAGCCTTTCAGAAAGGGGAACTAGAGTAAGTTTATGTGAACACTGTATGTTAGCAAAATATATACATTTGGTTTCCCTAAATATATTCTTCTGCCAGCCTGCCATACGTAGTATCTGAAATTCCTATGATTGATTAGTTCTTTTGAGTTTTTCCCAGCCAATAAAATAGTCCCTGTATTAATGGCCAGGTAGGTGTGACAAGGAGAGAAGTAGAAAGCAGAGTGGTTTGCTGGGGGCTTGAATTAGTATTTCTGCAGGTTATGCTGTCATATATTCTGTCCATGTTAGCTCCTTGCCAAAGGTCAGAGGCCTACCTGGCCTCTCTAGCACCTTTGTAAATGGCTTGGCAACTATGTCCTCATTTTGACTGGTGTCAATCTCAAAGAATGTTGACTGAATCAATGCATATTTAAAATGCTTTATTGTATGTCATAATTTTTTTTTTATTCTATTTGCCTTATCTCCCACCTTCCACAGGTAATCATGTTATTTATGTAATTGCATGAACCACATGTTTTTGCTTTCATTTTGATGGTTAGTGTTTTATAAGATAATGGGTTTGTTTCTGTGCATAGCAAAGTGATTCTAATTTGGAAAAAGTATTTTGAATTTAGAACTTTTGTATCTTATAATTTTAGGGCTCAAGCTGTCTGGTACACAAAGTTACATAAAACCCAGGCTGTATAGTTTTACAAATTAAAACTAAGTTTTTTTTTTTCCCTCGGACATATTTACACATAATTTTATACAAGCAACTTAACCAAAACATACAGTATATATGAGGGTTTCAAGGTGTTCTAGATTATATTACAACTTTTCTTGGTAAGGATAGGGCCACTAAGACTCAGAGTTCCTAGGATAAAAGTTGAAATGTACCTGATTGGTTTAGTTCTGAACTTTATTGATGAGGCCATGAATCATCTTAAAACCATTTACAGGGCAAAGCAGGAGTACCCAGGTTTTAAGGGCACATTATAGCAGGTAAAGGAGAGAGAATAAGCTTCTGAGAAATTAGCTGATGTCCGGACTCAAGGAGAGTATGGCAGCAATCCTTTCTGTTTCTGTGCATATTCTTGGGAGCACCATTTACTCCTTTAAACCCTTCATTTTTCAATCATTGACTGTGGAGATAAATTCCACTTAATTTGTATTAATGAAAGTGGTGCTTTTTTTGGTGACAGAACATTAGGTTCAGACCTAATTAGCCACATTGACCCATCTTCTCATAACCTTCCTTCCTACAAGGATTTTTGTATAAGGGACACTGAGCTTCCTTAAAGGAGGAATGCAGTCCATTTTAAAGCCAGAAATAAAAATAAGCCTTGGTGAGTAAAATTGTTGTGTAGATTTGTGCCTAGATCTTAAGTTATAATTTGTGGAAAAGAAGAATTAGGTAAATCATCTCTTTTTTAGGTCATTTTGTGAGAAAAATTTTGCAGCCTGCTTTTCACTTAATTGCCAGTGAAGATGACCATAGGATCCAAGGAACAACAGCCCATGGATTTTCCCATTATTCTGAAACATCAATCAGACAAGGAGTTTCCTTTAGCAAAATATCCACAGATGAAGATACAGATGAGAGCCGGACACTGAACTCAGAGAAACTGGAGAGGCTGGCGTCAGCTGAAAAAAGCAATTCTGATCTTTCATTTTTAGTTGTGAAGAATAACTTAGGAGAAAAGCAACTTTTTGTTGACTTAGGTGAGTAAAATTCACAGCACTGTTAACTGCCCTGTGCGCTTCCAGAAGAAACCAGTCAGTGCCCACCATCTCTGGGCTTCGGCTCTTGGCCACCACTGCCCACAGTGGCCGTGGCATCGCCAGCAGGATGTGATCAGTGAGCTCAGGTGTTAGAAGTTAACTCAGTTTCTGTTCAGAGAAAGTACCTGAACAGAAAGGTCCTGTGGGACATAAGCACCAGGCCTGTAGGAATGTCAAACTGAGTGGTTGTGACCGGCTGCTGCTCTGAAACATCCAGAGGATTCCTATCCAAGTCTTGACAGGGGGCAGCTAGACCAGCACTCTCCAGTACTGCTGAAAATTAGATGAAATAAAATTTAAAAACAGACACAATATAAATATGGTCTCGTGTGGCAAAGCATGACTGGGTGTTTTCTTCACTGAGGAGATCGGAGTAGTGGCAAGTCAAAGCTTACCTGCTAGGACTGTGTTCCCTTCTGCCCGGCTGGCCCCTGGTCTCTGAGATGAGGCAGTGCAGAGAACTGGGCAACAAGCCGTAGCCTGGTTAGTGACACACATGCAGTCATAACCCACCATTCAACAGCTCTAATTTGGTGAACTAAATCTCATTTTGAGGGCCTCCCCGGTGGCACAGTGGTTGAGCGCTGGGTTGCGAAGCTGCCCGCTGCTTCTGCAGCGCCGTTTCAATCCCCTGCTGTCGGCGAGGGTCCCACATCATGCGCAGTCCTCTCCTGCCGCCCACTGCTCCCCTCAGCAGTGTACTTCGTCATTCCGCCTGTTCTGCTCTTCTCTCTGGCTCTGGTGAATTCTCTCACCCTCCCGCACTTCTGACTGTACCCAGTGCTTGTATAAATAAATAAAATCTTCAAAAAAAAAAAATCTCATTTTGAGATTGTAACTTGTGATTGAAAAAGCCAAAAGAGCGGTTTAAAAAAAAAATTTATGCATACAAGAGCTGGGGTGTAGGCCAGAGGTGTGGGGGAGGGATGTGAGAGGATTCACCAGACAGAGTGGGGAGCAGAACAGGTAGATCTACTGAAATACACTGCTCAGGGGAGCAGCGGGTGAGACAGGAAAAGTCTGCTGGGCCATCTGGGTAGCTCCCTTTCCGGGGATCGAACTTGTACTGCAGTGGCTGGTGATAGCTTGATAGTGCTGAGACTTTAACCCCCTGCGCCACTAGGGAGGCTCTAATATATTGTTTTTGAAGTCTTATTGTCTGGTAAAATATGTTCTCCAGCTTTGTTATTTTAAATTTCTTGACTGTCATTGACTGCACTTCCACTTAAATTTTAGAGTCAACTTGTCATATTTACACACATACACACACACAATTGCATTCACACTCTCACACTCATGTATACATGCATGCACATACCCTGCCAGAATTTTGATTTAAGTTGCATTGAATCTATAACCTTGAAGTGGCACTTTTATAGTATCGAGGCTTCTAATGAATGTGGATATCCCTCCATTTACTTAGTTCTCTACTTTGAGTAACGTTTAAAAATTTTCTAAGTAGAGGTTTTACTATTTTTTTGTTAGATTTATTCTAGGTATTTTACTTTTTTGGTGCTTTCCTCTTTTTCTGAGAATATGGCACCACAAATCCTCACTGCCTCGGAAGCTCTCTGGTAATTTCAAGCTTTTTTCCTAATACATTTGGCCAACGTTTTTGTTTTTAATGGAAAGGTTGCCCCAAAATAATCTGATTTGCTATTTCTAGGCATTGTATTCATTCAGGTCAACTCCAATTTATTTTAACTTAGCATATTGCTGATATTTTGTTTACAGCTACATTTTATTTTTTTTATTTATTTTTTAATTTATTTATTTTTAAAGAGGCATGTATTTTATTTATTTGTTTGTTTATACATGCACTGAGTACAGTCAGAAGCGCGGGAGGGTGAGAGAATTCACCAGAGCCAGAGCGGGGAGCAGAGCAGGCAGAAGGACCGAAGTACACTGCTGAGGGGAGCAGCGGGCGGCAGGAGAGGTCTGCGCGCCATGTGGGACCCTCCTCCGGTGGCCGGGGAGCAGCCGGGGATCGAACCGGCGCCACAGAGGCCACAGACAGCTTCTCAACCCAGCACTCAACCGCTGCGCCACCGGGGAGGCCCTACAGCTACATTTTAGAAAATAGTGGCTTCTAATAATGCTATGCAAAAATTGTATTTGCTGATTGTAACCACTAGTCACTGAAAATGCACATTCAAATTGTTTTATTGATTTTTAATATAGGTGTTTATACAAGAAATAGAAACTTTCGACTGTATAAATCATCAAAAATAGGAAAGCATGTGACTTTGGAGATTGCTGAAGATAACAAATTTGTTCCTAAACAGTATAAGAATGTTTCTGAAGAAAATCAGTATTTCCTCTCCTCTCTGGTCAGCAATGTCAGGTACATATTACCAGAATTAATCCATTGTGTATTCATGAATATTTATTAAGCAGTCAATGGCATTGTATGAAAATCTGAATTACATAAATTCATCCTACCTCTCTAAGAAGAGACTTCTTAAAATCCTAAACTGTTTTCTCCATTAGCTAAAATGTAGTAAGTTATTTTTTAACCACCTAATTTTTTCTTTATATCCTTTTATAGTTGTATTTTATAAATTTTCCAGTTTTTCTAAAACAATTACCACTTCTATAAAGAAGAAAATAAAAATTACTTATACTTGGAAATATAATTGCAAGTAATATCTCTTTTCATAAATGGATGTACATACATATAACTTAAATTCAAAAATATTTTTTGATATCATAAGTATTGCCTGTTTTATATACTCAAAATATATCAGAATGTCTATCAAATTAATTGTCAGCACTTTATTGCAAATGAAACTTTCAGTGCTTACATAATTTTTCACTAAACTGTCAGTTCCATTAAAAAGTCTGTTGACAGTTCTATTGTTAAACATTGAGATTCCCATGTTTTGGTTATTTTTTAAAAGTGTGTAAGACTTCTTTCAACAGAAATTTGCCTTCTTTGCCTTTCATTTTGGAGTGGCAAGTTTTGTCAACCCCAAAACATGGTTAAGGATCACACTAAGTTGCCTTGCTCAGTTAACTTGGTTTAATTCTTGTCCCTTTGTTTTCCCTAGGTAGAATTTTTTTTTTAAGATTTATTTATTTAATTTATTTATACAAGCACTGGGTACAGTCAGAAGTACGGGAGGGTGAGCGAATTCACCAGAGCCAGAGCGGGGAACAGAGCAGGCAGAAGGACCGAAGTACACTGCTGAGGGGAGCAGCGGGCAGCAGGAGAGGTCTGCGTGCCATGTGGGACCCTCCTCTGGTGGCCAGGGAGCGGCCAGGGAGCAGCCGGGGATCGAACCAATGCTGCAGAGGCTGCGGGCAGCTTCGCAACCCAGCACTCAACCGCTGCGCCATCTTGGAGGCCCACCCTAGATAGAATTTTTAATAGAAATTCCATAACGATGAATTTTATAATACTTGAAATACATTGTTGTAGCGACAGTAGTGTCAGGATGTCTAGTTGACAGCAGTTACCCATAAGGTAAAGAAGGGTTGTTTTTCTTCATGTATTTCTCAACTCTTTCAGCTCTTTTGTAATATCTCACAGAAGTAAAGTCACAAATTTAGCTTCCTTTTCTTTAGAATGGAAATAATACCACCTATATTGTGGAGTTGTGAGGATTGATTTAAAACTTTTCAGGCGAAAGTGCTTGAATATGGTATCTTAGTAAATGTTAGTTGTTAGCAGTAGTAGTTTCTGAAGTTCAAAAAATAAAGTAGAATAAAAATTATGATTTATACTGCCCATCATTGACACCAGAATTAGATCACATTCTATCATTTATGAGAAAAGCAAACCAGTTGGCTGTAATAACCTCCTGATTACCCAATCTCATTTCTTTTGTAGTTCTGGTATTAATTTCATAGAAATGGAGAGGTCTACTCACTAAGGTCACCTTAATTGTCTTTTGATATTCAAATAAACAATCAGGAAATTGTTGAAATAACAATAACAATCCTTCCTGAAATAAAGAATACATTTTTATGGTTATAAATGAATTTTCTTAATTTTAATCCTTTTTACCTTTGCTTTTTTTTTATCTATTACTTTTGTCTTGCTAGTCACTCATTCACAGTTTATTTTTTAAATTTTTTTTTATTCAGTTTAAAAATTATTTTGTAACAAAAATGTGAAAGGCTCTGTATGTTTGTGGAATAGAATTAGACTTCAATCAATAGCTTAAGTTAGGACTTAAGTTAGGGTCCTCTGATTGATTCTGTAATTGGGAAAAGTATTTTAGTCAATCACCATCCTATTTTTTCATATGGTAGTTTTGTGCTTTTGTAGGCAAAAGTGGCATAAATATCCTAGAACAAATAGCTGCTGAACAAAGGACTTGAAGATGGAACTATTTGAAATTCAGTTTGCTTTCTGTTGCCTTGTCTCTTTATATCTAATATGTTATTTTGTTTCTATGATTTTGCAGATTCTCAGATACTTTACGAATTCTTACATGTGACACACCTCAGATTAAAGAAAAAGGAGTGGAATATTTTAACAGTGCCAACACTTCAGGTAATTTTAAGAAAATTTAAAGTATAAAACCTAACCTGTTTTGCCTTACAAATCTTAAATCTCAAGTATTCCTAGCTATACTTTATTTTTTAAACGTTGATTTATTTATACAAGAACTGGGATACAGGCCAGATGCGCAGGAGGGTGAGAGAATTCACCAGAGACAGAGCAGGGAGCAGATCAGGCAGACAACCAAAATAACTGCTGAGGGGAGCAGCGGGCGAGTCAGGAGAGGTCTGCTGTGTCAGGTGGGATTCTCGTTGGCAGGCTGGGATCGAACCCGCACTGCAGAGGCTGTGGACCACCTGCACCACCAGGGAGGCCCTATTCTTTTTTATTTTTTTTTTTAAATTTATTTATTTATGCATATAAGAGCAGGGGTATAGGCCAGAGGTGGGGAGCAGAACAGGCAGATCTACTGAAATACACTGCTGAGGGGAGCAGTGGTGAGATAGGAGAAGTCTGCTGCACCGTGTGGGTTAGCTCCCTGGCCAGGGATCAAGCTCATGCTGCAGTGGCTGCAGATAGCTTGCTAGTGCTAAGACTCAGCCCCTTATGCCACCAGGGAGGCCCTCCTGTCTATACTTTTGAACTAAGTTTCTGTCCAAAATGAAATGCTATAAAATTATATTAAAGCTTATTAATTTTTTTATATGGTGTTTTTCAAAATAGTACAAAAATGTAGATTTGTTTTGAACACCTATTAAGATTTAAAAAAAACTAAAAGTTCCTCTTTCTCCCTTGTCCCCTGTTAGAGATGGATAACACATTATTTCCTATTTCACTTAACAGAATTTTTTATATTTCTTTTCTATGGAGATACCTAGTTCTTGTAATGGCTGCAGTTTTTCATGAAACCTGTTTCATTCCTACAGTGATCTTGCAGGTTATTTTCTAAGATTTTATATGTAAACTGTCCAGAAACCATTTTTTGTAAACAGATTTTGGTCTGTCATTGTAACAGTGAAAAAGCTGCAATCTGAAATGTACGACAGAATGGAATTGATCACACTATAAAATACTCTTGTAGCCTTTAAATTTATAGTAGGGCCTCCCTGGTGGCGCAGTTGGTTGAGCGCAGCACTGTGAAGCTGTCCGCAGCCTCTGCAGTGCGGGTTCTATTCCAGCTGGCCGGAGAGAATCCCACATGGCGCGGCAGACCTCTCCTGACTCACCCGCTGCTTCCCCCAGCAGTGATTTTCGGTCCGTCTGCCGGTTCTACTCCCTGCTGTCTCTGGTGAATCTTCTCACCCTCCCACATATCTGGCCTGTACGTGGGTTCTTAAAAAATAAAATTTATAGTAGACTCAAATTATGTGTGATATGATCACAAGTTTGTTAAAAAAATGGGTATTATGTTTATTTTCTTCTGGTTGTTTAAACAGTTTTTTCAAGGCAGAGCTTTAAGTTTCTCTCACTTCTACTTTATTTAGTAAAACTGTTCTAATCATATTTATTTTGTAAGTGAAATATAAGCTTTAAGAAAACTAGATTCTATCTTTAAAAACTGAGATTTTAAAAAAGGTATTCTAATTAATTCTTACAGTTGATTCTAAGTACAAAATATAATTGAGTTATTGCCCTATAGCTGAAGGCTACCAGGGAACACACCAGTCTTGAGCAAACTGAATTACTGGTTACAGTGAAAAAGAAAACAGACCCAAGGGAACTGTGGGGCATCTCAGTAAAAGGGTGTTAGAAGAAGACTTAAAGGATTCAGACTTATGTGATTTTGAGGAGAGTCCAAGGAAATGTTGCTTTGTTTTGAATTGGGTATAGTCAGGGATAATTCTAAGTCTGACTAATCTAATTCTGACAAATGAATTATCTTGAAAAATCTCATCTAGAAGGAAGAAGATAAGGAGACTAAAGCTATAATTGGTAAAGGAAGCAGCAGTTACTTTTGTTAGGATAGGGAGGGAAGAATTTGGTTATTTTAGTGGTTTGGAAATTGTTCATGTTTGGTCTGTGTTCAGACATGATTAGGGTGGCGTTGTTTTCTCTTGAGTCATCATGGCCATAGAATGGCCTTAAGTGACAGTGAAGTTGTGTGAAATAGTTTATGATTAACAGGTTAGCAGGGCTGGGCTGCAAGTATACCCAGTCGGTTTGCAGCAATACCAAGGCCTAGCTAATAGTACTAAGCCAGCTCCTGGATATAAGGGGCTGAGAGAATTTGATTGGATTGAAAGGATTTAATTGCATTTTATGAAAATTAGTTATTCGAGAGATTTGCATTTTACCTACTTCCCTGTAGGTACAGGGACCCATGTACTAGTAGGCAAATTGCAAAAAAGGGAATAAAAACTAGGTGGTTATAAACCCATATTGTACTAAATACTAGTTTAATCTGAATTTAGCTCAACTTTAAGCTGTTATAATTTATAATTTTTGTTTCTGTTGCAGTGGAAACCATTGAAGGTTTTCAGTGTTCACCCTACCCTGAAATTGATCACTTTGTTCGTTCTTTGGTGAATAAAAATGGCATTAAAGGAGGTAAAGATATCTTAATATTAACTGTTATATGATATGGTGATAACACATTTAGAAACATTATTTACATTCCAGGAATTCGGCGTTGGAACTACTTTTTCCCAGAAGAATTACTGGTTTATGATATTTGTAAATATCGCTGGTGCGAAAACATTGGAAGAGCCCACAAGAGTAACAATATCATGTGAGAAATACTGTTCATCAATAAGTTTTTTATATCTAACCATTATCATTTAAATGTTCATAATTTTAAATGAAATTGAGAATGTAAAAATGTTTTTATAATAGATTTAGTTTTAGCTTTACTAGTAATTTTAAAGATACAAGAAATCAGAAGTCACAAGGCCTGAGACATGCAGCATGGTTGATAGGTCCTTTCCGCGTGCCTTTCCTGACGCAGGAGGAAAGCTGAGGCAGAGTGAGCAGGACCATACCCAGCAGGGAAGTGATGAGGTTATGAAACATCTACTGTTTGAACTCAAAATTACATAGCATGTGCGGCAATTCCAGGGAACCGTAGCCTTATTAAATAAGCACTGGGTTTATTTCCTGTATGCAGGAATCAGAAAAAGCCTGCAGAGAGCACTCTGTAGATAAGGACTTTCCTCCAAGCAATTATTGGTTCAGAGTTTCCCAGACTTTGCTTGTGGTACCTGTAGTTTTTCCACATGGCTCTGAAGCTGGAAAATAAACAGCTAATAGTTATGTTTATTAATTAGTTTCAGTCAATTTAATAAGTATTGTCATAACAGATTAGTAGCTTTTTGGATCAACAGTAAGTTGAACATAAAAGAAAATATTTTTATTTCACTCTTACATGTAATTGTTGTGGATGGGATATGTCCCCTTTTGAGTATTGTATAACCTCTTAAATCCTTGAGTCAGAAAGAACACTGCCACCCTCCTTCGTCTTTGCTATTTTTTTGTTAAGTCCTTAAGAGTCTAAATTTTCCCCTAAGGATGATTTAAGCTCAATCTGACATATTTTAATGTGTATTATCTAGTCCATCCTTAGGATTTTCTAATTTCTATTATGATTTTTCCTTGAGCCATTGGTTATTTAAAATTAGTTTTTAATTTTCATGTAATTTCTTTTGTAGTCGGAGAATGTGTTGTGTGAACTAAATATTTGATGAGAATCACATTGTAGAGCTAGCAGTCAGTTTTTATAATTCTGTATGTGATTGAAGAACTGCTTCTAATTATCTGAAGCACTATTTTTATATACTGATTATCAAACTTGCTCATTGCTTTTTACTTGTGTTGAATTTTCCACACCCTTTATGGAATTTTTTGTGGTTATTTTATCATTTACAAAGAATTTTTTAAAATATTTATGGTAGATTTGTTTTTCCTTGAGATTCTGTTAGCTTCAAAACACATAAGAGGAAAGCTATCTTATTTGGTGGCTACAGGCTGAGAATTATGCCATCCTGCAAGTAACGTTTATCAATGTCTGAAGTCCATTTTGTGTGATATTTTTTGACAGCCACAGTTTACTTTTAGTTGTTATCTATTTCCATCCTTCTACTTTGTATCTTTTCTCTAAATCTTAAGCCTATCTCTTGTAAACAGCACATAACTAGATTTTGTTTTCTACCCAGTGGGTTATTAACAAATATTTTTCTTTTTTTACATAAAGGATTTTAGTTGATTTGAAAAATGAAATTTGGTATCAAAAATGTCACGACCCTGTATGCAAAGCAGAAAACTTCAAATCTGAGTGTGAGTTATTAATTTTTGTTACCTAATTTTTACTTTGTGATAAATATAATTATTATAGTTTTACTATATTTCTGACCCAGGTTTTCCGTTACCTGCTGAAGTTTCTTTGCTGTTTCTCCTTAGAGAGGTAAGTGCAGTTTTTTTTCTTGTTACTTGGTACAGTATATATGAAGTAGAAATAGGGTGTCTACTGAGCTCAGATAGGTTTTAAACACACTGGCACATGTTGTTTTCACTTAGAAATACAATGTAGTGACTCAGCACATAATACATACCTCATTCTTTCACTGTAGAAAAAACTGTTGATACCTACTTAAACTGTCACAAACATTTAAGAAGTTTCTCATTTTTTCCCTTTACATAGTGTACCAAAATACCCTGTTTCTTTAAACAACTGTATCTGTAAGAAGAAATGTATCAGAGTATATGTATTTTAAATTTTGGTAGATAACCACCAGCTTGCCAAACACATTTTTCTCTTAACCAATGTAGATGTTTTGGTATACATCTTAACAGAATTTGTATTACGTGTGCTATTTTATATATATGCACATATATACATACATACACATGCAGTCACATATGAAAGAATGTACCACAGGAACTACTGGTATATACAAATTTGGAGTTTCAGGGCTATCTGAGCTATAATGGCAGTAACGTATAAATAAATGAACTCATATTCCTATGTTGATTGGTACAATCTAGGTATAATACCTTGAGTATATAATGAAATTATCACATTGAATAACCTGTATTTTCTTATGAGACTCTTGCTTACCTTCCCCTTTGGGTATAAAGGAAGAAGAGTTGATGACAGATCAAATAACAAACAGTGAAGCCAAGAACCTTCATAAACCATCTAGTACATTGTCAACAGAGATATCTTCTGATGCCAATTGGAATGATGACACTGATGATACTTATTTTTTGGAAGCCACTGAAGACGCTGAACTAGCTGAAGCTGCAGAGGGCAGTCTTCTCAGTTATAATAGTGGCATGGATGAAATTCCTGATGAACTAATTATAGAAGTATTACAAGATGAAAAGAGTAGCTAATTAACCATGGACACTTATAGAACCAGGTAATTAATTTGCCTGAAGGCACACATTAACTTCTTAATAAACAGGTTTAAAGCAACATTTTAATTTCTACATCTTAGGTTTTACAGAAAACTTGCTTCAGTGTACTTCAGTAAGGAATGAAATTTTTAAGCCAAGTTGTTATATGTTTGGAGACACTAACCAGGAAAGATAATTATTACTACTCTATAAACAAATAACTATGAACATTAGGTATGATCAGTTAATTTGAATGATGAGGAGAAACCTATCTCCCCTTTCAAAAGTGCAGTTTCAGAAGACAACAGACAGGAGCATGAGTCTAATCTTCATACAGGCACCTTTTAGTAGATTCATTGCTGGTCAAGGAGCTTCTCTAATTGATGGTTGATACTTTGCAGATGGTTTTCAGCTCCCAAAAGGGTTCTTGCTTTACATAACATAGCTGGAAGGCTGGATAAATCATACTGTTGAAGGAAGATAAGCAGGTATTTTGATATGTTACACAGCTCTAAATATTATGACAAATGTCAGTTTTGATAGCACTAGGATCATTAAGAAAATTGGTTTCCTTAGGACACATTTGTTAATATAAACTTGCAGAGGAAGTCTTTGCAACATTTGAGCTGATCTCATCTCAGAAGACCAGTCCTTTCAAATAACTGGCACCTGAATTATTTAACGGTCATTCCTGGGGTAGGTCAGAAGTTGGTTTGGGGTCTGTTTGATCTCATGGCTACGATTTATCTACAAAAATTGGTGAAACTTGACTGTCACTAGCTTTCAGGGAGGAACAAGGGGAAAAGCTAACATTTGGGCTAGATTTTTTAGTAGGAAAAGTAAGATCCAGATATCTAATCTGTAAAATAAAAAGGATAGATGCTAGTAGAGAAGTCTAAAAAAGGGCACTGAGGGCATGTAAAGATGTTAGTAGGAATTGTGTGTTTACCAAATTCAGTCAGTGCTATTATTTTTCCAAGTTTAATAACCAAATCCCCACCTCAAGTATTTTTAGAGCTTTTACTATATCAACGTTAGGCTCAGGAGAATTAAATTTTTAATACTTTTCTATAACTTAATCATTTTTAGGAATCTGAGCTAGTTATAATAGCAGTATGCCACATTTTCTGTATGTCCTTTTTATGTTTCTCAACTTTCTGGACAAAGAGCAAAAGAAGTTGCTCTTTAAAAGATCTGAGTGGTCTTACACTGATTGCAATTATAATGAAGGAAAGCACAGTTATTCACTTGGGATTGTAACAGGTAAACATCCCTTGATGAAATTTAATTCTCTAGAGCATAAAAACCTTAAGTCAGCATTTTAGATTTTTCTCTATTCCTGCAGCTTTCACTAAGTAGCTAAAAAAGTGACATGACCAATTTTCACTTGCTTTCTGAGTTGCATCTACATTTCTTTCCTGAAAACTGGTATTTTACCATGCAAAAGCCCTATATTTTCTGAAGTACAGTTAAAAATAAAAATGGAAGTTACCGTTTCCTTTACACCTGGTTTTTTCTCTTGAATATCTGAATAATCTTGATGAAGTTGTTTTAAATTAGATAAGAAATTTGCTGCTTTCTCAAGGAAGTTTTTTTCTCCTTAAGTTCATCATGTTTTGTTTGTAGTTGTTTCAGCTGTGGTTCTAACCTAAAACAAAAATTTTCCAAAGTGTAACAGACCATAGTGTATGAGACTGAATATAAGTCTACTTAGGGGTTACTATGGATAAATTACCTCCCTGTGCCTTTAATGCAAAGCAGCAGCAAGTTAGATTTTTCACATGTCAAGTTAAAATAGTGATGAATCCCATTTTTCTCTTACTATGTCTTTTCAAAATATACTTCTCAACTTCTAAGATTAAATTTAGAACAGTAACACAAAAGGCTGATCTGTAAAATATGCCTGCATGATCTCACATTGACAATTGTAAAGACCAGGGCCTTACATAGACATAACCTACTTCACAGGATTATGATGGTTAATGAGATTTAGGACAGTGTCCGGCACGTGGGAAACTTGAGACTTGTCTATCACTTTATTACTTTGAATTTTATATTTCTTGCCGTGAGCCAATGAAAAGTATCATAGGCCTGCAAAACAAGTGGAATAACAGCCAACTTCTAAACTCCTGTAGCAAACTACTTAATTTCATCTTTCCTGATAATACCACTATCAAGCTATTTTAAAACTCCTTAGGAGCAGAGAGCTTATCTGATACTGCTTATTACACTGCTTTACCAACAACCCGCCAATTTGCATAACAGACCTAGATTTATAGAAGACTGCTAAGAAATACTAGCTCTGTGGCTGATGTGTGCTCCAGCCTTCCTAACACTTGAGAATGAACTCCTGTAAGTGCCATGGAAAAATTAGGTTTGAATAACATTGACAAAAAATGTTACCAGTTAGTCACCGTGAAGCACTTCTGTGTATTTACTCATTAATTCTCACAATACCTAATGTGGTATATAATTACTTTGCTCATTTACAAATGAGGAAACTGACTACTAGGAGGTTAAGTAATCTGTTTAAGGCTGCACAGCCAGTACGTGGGAGGGCCTTGATTCCAACTCAGGTAGTCTAGTTTCAGATTTTCTGCATTAAACCTCTAGTAAGACTGCCACTGAGGTTAGGGTGGCGACATCTGACAGCAGGTAGAGGAGTGCTAGTGAAAAAGCTTCAACCTAGAAGCATAACTTTCCTTCATTGTGTTTCCAGGCTGTCGTGGATAACAGGGTTTTAATGCAACATAGCTGCAAGTTTTACTAGTCCCACGTAACACAAATTAATCGTGTAGGAATATTCTCAAAGAGGTTTTTGGTAATATCTTACCGAAGCAGTTCATCCTGGATTTCAATCAAGCGCTGCCTTTTCTTTTCAGTATCTGAAATTATCTAAATACAATTTTCTCTTAATTTTTTTTTAAATGTTTGAGCACCTACAGTGTCAGTGTTGGAATTACAGTAGGAAACAAGGCAGACCCAATTCTTAACTATCATGCAATTTAGTCTAACAGGGAAGACAGGCATTACATACCAACAGTAAGTATGCAGTTATAACTTGTGATATGTGCTAATGATGGAAAAGAACAGGGAACTCTGAATAAGAATCACAGGGATATTACTTCAGGAAGGCTTTAAAGAGGAAGTGGGGGCCAGATCTTGATCCTTGGATATATAAAACAAGGACTTTAGGAAAAAGTTGGTACACTAAGAAAATATTAAAAGCTGGGGAACATCATGGTCCAGTTTGTACTTGAGATAAATATCTCAATCACCACTTTTAGTGACTGACATTCCATTGCTGAGGCAGGCAGACAGTTCCCACATGCAGAAATCACCAATCAGAATTATACACTAATGAAAGTACATACATTTTAAATCCATTTCTATTATAAACATAGAAGGAGAGCTGGTCTTTTGTTCCTGGAGTCACACAAGTTTAAAGCTAGAACTGCAGAGGTCATTTGGCCTAACTCTAAGCTTCCTGGATTGTTTCTCCTTGCACACTTGCTGTATAGTTTCTCGGTGCTGCAGCACTAAAGTAGCAGCAGCACCAGGATGAGAAGACTCATGACCCTCTATTCTACAAGATTTTTCTTTTGGACAGCCATAGGAGTGATACATGGACATTTACTTAATCTTTTATCCATATAAGTGGTAATTCTGATAGTCATTTATAAGCTAACTTTGGGACTAGAGATGGCTCAAATTTCTCTCATCTTATAAAGACAGGGCCTCCCTGATGGTGTTGGGCTTAAATCTCAGCACTATCACCGCTGTGGCCTGAGTTCAATCCCCAGCCAGGGAGCTAACCCACATACAGTGCAGCAGACTTCTCCTGTCTTGCCCCCTGCTCCCCTCAGCAGTGTATTACGGTAGAGCCGCACGTTCTCCTCCCCACTCTCTCTCTGGTGAATCCTCTCACCCCCCCGCACCTCAAGCCTACACCCCAGTTCTTGTATGCATAAATAATAAAAATAAATCTTTGTTTAAAAAAAAAAGGATTACAAGGACAGTCTGGAAGCCTTAGGAAACAAAGATGATTAGCATCCCCTTAACTTGCATTAATAGTACTCATGCAATCTACCACAAGCACAGTCAAATAAAAGCCTAATTAAAAAGATAGAAAATCTTTATTAATTTCAAAGGTCATAAAACCTAGAATCAAGTCATTACTTAAACCTACATGTCAGTATGTTATGTAACTACATTCCCCTAATCACACAAGTGATTTACCTTAGCATTCTTCCTTTTCAGAGTTTTTACCATCTGGACTTCTTTAAGCTACATAAAACAAAAACAAATATTTGCATGCATTCTCTAAAATGAAACATTTTTTAGTTTAACATTTATCACATTTAGCGTAAAAACAGCATGTGAAGTATGAGTAGGTCTAATAAGTTACTTACTAAATTGCCGGCAAATGCAAGCTTTTCTAATAGTATGATGTCTCCAGATTAGTAAGTAAGAATTTAGACCAATAAATTGTCTCAATGAACTTACCATTTTGATGAGTTCTTCTTTAATATTAGAATGAAATTTATCGATGGCATCCTTTAAAATTTTAGATTCTATTTTTTGTCTATGGGGAGTAAAACAAAATAATGATCAAATTAGTTATATACAGCATTTTGAAAGGTATGTTTCATGTGCAATTTGGCATATACCTTTTGAATATCTAACATGGTAATAATGGTCAGCCTACAGCCCTTTCTCAGTCTCAAATACTACAAGTATCTCAAGAAAAAGAAAACGAGAACTATTTCCCCTTAAACTCTAGGGTACATGGTCATCGTATCTCTGTGCAGTGGTCATGGCCAGAGATGTTACCAAGGAATGTAGAAATAAATACTTAGAACTATTCCCAATCTTTTCCTGCTGTCTTGTCCAGTCACCACAGCCCTTAACCCCTCTGTCTGCTTACAACCAGAGGAATAACTGTGTAACACATCTGAACTAGCCAACAGAATGAAAAGGTAGAAAAATTTGCACATCATCTCACAAGAGGTTAAGAATGTGGAGAAACTGGAAGCCTCGTACACTGAGGATTGTAAAAATAACTGCTATGAGAAACAGTGTGGAGGTTCCTTAAAAAACTAAAAATAGAACTACTTTATGATCCAGCAACACACTTGTGGAGAGACACAGATACACACAAAAAGAACTGAAAGCAGGACACTGAAGAGTTAACTGCACACCCACTGTAAGTTACAGTACTATTCACCATAGCCAACGCAGATGAAGAAATTGTATGTGTGTATAAAATTTATAAGAAATAAATAATTGTTCTTTGTCCCGGGTTCTGGCATACAGCTCACACTCTTGGAAATCCTAAGTGATAAGAGCCAGGAAAGTATTTTGTTACATTAATAACATGACTTCGTATGTACCCAAGAACAGGAACTGATTGCCAGGAGAATCCACCATGTGATTAGAGTATTGCACTTTTTGTCTCATCCCCCTAACCTCTGTGCCCCTGAGATGAAACCTCTGTAGAATCGCAAAAGGATGAGGTTTGGAGAACTTCTATGCTGACCGACACATGGAGATCTGGGGATGGTGGTGCACTTCCAGAGGGTATGGAAGTTCTAAGTCCCCTTCCACACACTTGCCCTGTGCATCTCTTCCTCTGGCTGTTCCTGAGTTTTATCTGTTATAATAAACTGGTAACTAGCAAGTAAAAATGTTTCCCTGGGTGAACCACTCTAGCAAGTTAGTTAACCCCAAGGAGGGGGTCATGGGAACTTGTAATTTATATCCAGTTGGTCAGAAGCACAGTGACAACCTGGATTTACTACTCGCATCTGAATTAGAGGACAGTCTTATGGAACATGTTATCTCTGGGTGTCAAAATTGGGTTGAATTGTGGGATACCCAGCTGGTGGCTCAGAATTGTTATGTTGGACTGAAGAAGTACTACATACCAAAAGTTGTGGAATGTGCAAAAGTGGTGCATCTAGGGAAATTTTGTAGGCAGTTACATCACAACTTCATGAGACTTACTTATATTCTAAGAAGACTGTTTCAAATGCAGACAGAACAACATCTAACTCCATGATGTCACTTGTTTTCTTTCCTTTCGGACACCAAATATGTACATAGTCAGAAGTATCTAGAACATTAAGATAAGTTAATTTATTATCCTGTTATCAATGGTTTGGCTCTAATTTCAGGGTTCTGAAAGCCCAAAACAAAAATAGTTCCACCAAATTGGTAACAATGTAGTTGAAGAAATGAGTTTGACTTCTTCCATACGCTTTTTCCTATTCCTGTGCATTGTGTCACAGACCCCTGTCTGTAATGTCTCTCTCAGCCATCCTCTTGGTTCCCTTCCCCCTTTCTGATGAAGCAGCCAAAAGCAATGCTACTTTTTAATTATCTTGCTGCATCTTTGTCTGCTGCTATACAACACTACTCTTTATTAACAGTATTTTCTGAATTTTAATACACCTGATAGGCCACTTCTAGAACACATCAAGATTACTCAGTGTATTGATGCAGCTGTAGTAAAATACAGTAAGATACTTAAAACTACATGGCATATCATGAATGAAATGTTATGCATTCATTAAAATGGTGTTGTGGAATACTTAATTACAAGTGCATGATCTGAAAAGCTCAGTAAAAAGAACTGAATAACAGAGACCAAAAAACAGGGTGATTATTTTTGGGTGATGGAACTATAGCTGATTTTATTTTCCTTGCCATATCTTCTAAATTTTCTAAAATAAACACTTTATAATAAAAATATTTTTTTAAAAGAACTGAAGAAAGAAAATTACTTTCTTCCTAAATGTTTTTCAACAAACTATCTTATGTCAATAAAATTGACACAAAGCAACATGGATGAATCTCAAAAAATAGTGAGAAAGAAAACTATGAAAAACAGTTGATGAAAAATTAAGTGGATTAGTGGACAGGAGGTGATAAAGCAAAATAAATGTTAATAGTAAAATCTATGTGGAGGGCCTCCCTGGTGGCGCAGGCAGTTGAGTGCAGTGCTGTGAAGCTGTTCACAGCCTCTGCAGCTCGGGTTTGATCCCGGCCGGCCATGGAGATACCCACATGGCACGGCAGACCTCTCCTGTCTTGCCCGCTGCTCCCCTCAACAGTTTATTTCGGTCTGTCTGCTTGTTCTGCTCCCCGCTCTGTCTCTGTGAATCCTCTCACCCTCTCGCACATCTGGTCTTATACCCCTGTTCTTGTATGCATGAATAAATCTTAAAAAAAAAATAAAATCTATGTGGTGGGTATAGGAATATGTACTGTGAAATTCATCTTTGTTGTATGTTGAAAGTTTTCATGATATGATGGAGAAAACTGGTTACTCTAAAGTCATAGTATTAATTTTTAAAGTGGCAATTTTATGTACTTGTAATTTACTAAACAGCTTTTTAAATAAAGAGTGACAAAGTATAAAACTCTATTGTGTACCTGAGTCTCCATTTTTTCTCTTCTTTTTGCCACGAGACAGCTCCTTTTTCTGAATTTCCTACAAAAAAAAATGAGACTCTTATGAAGGAAAAATGTTTTCTCTTACAACATAAAAATTAAGACAGTATTATCAAAAACTCACTATTTTAGTTATAATTGTCATTAATTCTAAATTAACATACTAGTTAGCTATATAAAATAGCTATCTAAGAAAACAGTACAAAAATTAAACTGTCTTAAAATAAAAACTAAAACTTTCAGTTGCCTTGTAGCAAGAACTTGAACATTTTTATTTAAGATAACAATGTGTGGAATCACTTAATTTCTGCTGCCATTATGATGAATTAACAGAGCTGCATCTAGCTCCCTTGCCCTAACAATGCTAAAATGGGGGAAGGAGCTAGCAACTTTATTCAGACACGGACAGCAGGGAACTCAGGACTGAATTCTCCAAAGGTGAGCCCGCTGAATGCCTCCTCCCCAGGTTGGGAACAACTGCCAGAGAGCAGCACAGCAAGCTAAAGTCCAAGCAGAGAGTGGCAGTCCTGCTCAGCTGAAGAGGCAGAAATCTGAGTATGCAGCTGAAGAACTTGGGAAAAGTTGCTCAGAGAAGAGTGTCAGAGATCCATGTGGACATTCCCTAGAAACAACAGAAACTTATTCTCTGACAGTTCTGCAGGTTAGAAGTCAAAGTAGGTTTCACTGGCCCAAAACCAAGCTGCCACCGAGAGCATTTCCTCCAGGGATTTGGAGGGTGATCTGGTCCTTGTCCCTTCCCGCTTTGGTGGCTGGCGCATAACTTTAACCATGGCCACATCACCTCAATCTCTCTGCCTCCATCTTCACATTGCCTTCTCCTCTGTGTGTCTACTCTGTGTCTGCCTCTTATGTAGATACTTGTGACACCTCTGATGCATCCTCCATGTAATCCAGAGTCACCTGGAATTAGGACATGGACATATTTTTGGAGGCCACTATTCTGCACACTATATATGGGCTTCATTGCAGACTGTAAATTGCAAAAGAGTAGTCATGGAAACTTAAGACCAAGTGATATAAATGTATCCACTTTGCAGATCAGAGTGAGAGCGATCTAGAAGAAAAATGAAGAAAAATGGTCAGAAACTCTAAGGAACCTGTGTGACAACACTAAATGATTTAAAATAGGAGTCCAGAAATAAAAGGAAAGTGGAAGTAGGGTAGGCTGAAGTAGAAGATGGTGTAGCAGAGAAACCTTACCATACAATAGGAAATTTCTGAATATGAGAAAGGATTGTTTTTTGAAAACACGAAGCCAACTGAACTAATGATTGACATATTAAGAGCCTCACCAAAAGACATGTCAACAATCTTAGCATACATAATTGATAAATCTTGTGGCATCTTTTTTTCCAAGGAAATGATCAAGAATAGGCACAAAGATTTAGTTACAAAAAGATTTTTTTAAAGTTTTAAAACTGCAACATGAGTAAGAAATTACCTATGACACTCATGAGTGAAATGCTGTATATGCATTAAACGGTATTGCAGACTAATGACTGACATGGCCCTACTGAGGATGAGACACTCTCAGTGAAGGTATGGAGAAAGAGCAAAAACCCTTCACAGTGGCTATTTTTGGTTGATGGAACTAAAGGGATTTTTACATTCTTTGCCTTCTAAAATTTCTAAAACATTTTGTAATAAGAAAAATAGAAAATTTATCTTTTTAAATCTTTTTAAAGAATGAGAGACAATGTTTTATTTTCCTCCTAAACATTTTCAGATCAACTTTTTTCTCTCCAGGACAAAGGCAGACACTCTTACCGGCTGATTTTCTCTTGCCAGGGTCTCTCTTTCAACAGAGGACTCGGCGCTAGGGGCTCCTCTCTGTAGATGAGTAAGTGATTCAGGTGGTTTCTCTGGAAGTTCTGACGCTGCTGTAGCTGGTGCAGCTTCATGTTGTGAACTTATTTTCTTTCCTGGTTTGACTTTTCTTCTTACATCAGTTTCTTCGTCGCTTTCAGATTCATCACTAATGGGCTTGAGTTTTCTTCTTGGCTGTATCAAGAAAACAGCATTACTGGACTCAGAAAATACAAATGCTTGTTCTTACTGTAGTAGCAGATAACCGTAAGACCCACATTTATCATTTCTAAACCTCAAAATTAAACATAATAGGAAAATAAGAAATTTCTAAACCTCAAAATTAAAAAAACAAAATTAAACATAAACATGATTACTGGGTAGGATGGGAAACTTCGATGAAAGAGCTCCAGATAAGTCCTTACAAATCATGCTACCTTCATATACACCATCCATACTCTCTTATGAGTGCACCAAGGACTGACAAAGCGCATGGAGACAGGAGACCTCTTTAATAAAAAACACATTATGGCCTCATTGATGGCCTACAGGTTAAATCTCAGCACTATCAACGCTATGGCCTGAGTTCGATCCCCAGCCAGAGAGCTAGCCCACATATGGCGCACACATGTCTTGCCTGCTGCTCCCCTCAGCAGTGTATTTCAGTAGATGTGCCTGTTCTGCTCCTCACTCTGTCTCTTGTAAAACCTCTCCCCCCGTACCTCTAGCCTATACCCCAGTTTTCTACATAAAAACAAAAATTGTCTCTTAAAAAAAAATTGGACATAAAAATATTTCACTTTTTATTATAAAAGTAACTTCTCAACCACAATATTCTTTTCTACAAAAAAAAAATGTTGCTGCAGAACCTTTTCTGTATTTACAACCAATCTAAATAGGACACGAAATATCTTAGTAATTAAAATAGAAAAGAGAACTCCTACATACCTTTCCTGCATGAAATTTTACAGGCTCGTTTTCACTTGTTTCAGTTTCAAAAGTGTCTGAGCTATACCAAAGAACAAGCCGTTAGTTCCTTGCACATTATTTCACTTTATCCACGTCTTCTCTAAGTTGACTGTCCAATATGAAAGCTCGGTTTAACAAGATTTCTCACTCATCATGCTGCGTTCCCAGATTTACTGATCTTCATCATCTTCCCACACCCAGACCACAGCCATTTGTGCTGGGAAGGTAGCGGAGCCCCATGACTGCAGCACCTTGTGGTCATGTCTGAGAACCTCACAGGCGCCCCCCCCACCACCGGCCCCCCCACAACTCCAATGACACTCCCGATTCTCGAAGAAAAACCTAATTTGGCTCCAAAGATCTTAAACAAGATTTAGTTTTCTAAGTTTCTATCTTAAAGGGCTTCTCAGAAACCCCATAAATCATGAATAAACAATTGCTTAAAATCTCATCGTACCTTCTTTTTGCTTCTTTTCCTTGAGGAGTTGAAGGAACAGATGGTCCGCAGAATTCTTCTTCATCAGCATATATAGCAGTGCTGTGTAGAGGAGGGTCTACATAAGACAAAGTTCAACTTTAAGTCTGCTTGGCAGCGTTTAAGTCTGTTCCCTTATAATGGAGTAAGAAGCAATTTTGGTTTAAATGGCTGACAAAATCATAATGACAACTGCTTCCCAAATGTTTTTGCTCTCACATCTCAACAATAAAATATTTCAACCACTTCACCAATACATGGGTATCTATTAACTATGTTCTCTTTTTCTGTAGGTGTATATATTACATGGAATTTTTTAATGACAAAGTACATATAAACAGGAAGTCTAAGTTTCTCTTTCCTTTCCTGTCAGAGCCCCATCACTCTGCTCGGGAAACTGCTACACTGATGATAAACTTGCAGGCTCAGCCATGCCTGGCCTAATCTTATGACTCTGTTGCCTCACAAAATATTGAGGACACAGTGGCACACGACATTTATGAAAGAATGGCCCTTTGGCGAGGGTTTCCGGTCCTTCCCCACCTTCCACCCTCCTACTTTCCGCTGCATTGCTAGAGTCTTTAGTTAGCATAAAAAGTTCACTTGCAGAAGATAAAGAGCCCAAGTAGCCCTGATGGAAAGTTGTTCCTTCCTGCTCTGCAACAGGAGTAGCACAAGGGACCTTGGCACAATGGGCCGGGGCTACAGCAGGGGAAGAACTTGGGGGTGAGGGGGGTGGCCAGCGCTGACAGAGCTGAACTGCCGCAAGGGTTGGGAGGAGGGGCGGCCTGCTGAGAGCTAAGCAGTTATTTCTTCATGCTCAAATTCTGCGCTGACAGCACACATGTAAACAACATGTTTTCAAATAAGCAGCTGCTTAAACCATGAACATAGCAACTACACAATTTTAAAGTTACTTTACTTTCAAAAGTGCTGTGGATTACCCTCAACTAGGCAAAGGGATTCGTTTACTACTGTGAATACCAAGAGACCTGGGCCAATCCTGACTCCGTCTGTAACCAGTCATGTAAGCTGGACTCTTATACTCATCATTAAAAGATAAATAACCCAATTTTAAAAGGAGTAAGAGATTTGAATAGATGGGGCTCCAAAGGAAATAAATGTCCACTAAGCACACTGAAAAGATGATCGGCATTGTAAGTCTTAAAAAAAAAAAACAAACAAAAAAACCCACAAGTGAGGATGTGAGAAATTGGAATGACTACACATTACCAGTGGGAATATAAAATAGTGCCTCAAAATATTAAACACAGAATTATCATATGATCCAGCAATTTCACTTGTGGGCATAAAACCAGATACTTGCACACTCATGTTCACAGCAGCGTGATTCACAATGGTCAAAGACAGAAGTATCTAAACCTCAACTGATGGATGAATGAACAAAATGTGGTACAGACACAGGATGGGATGTTAAAAGAAATTCTGGCACATGCTATGAAGACATAACGCTAAGTGAGATAAGCCCGCCCCGAAAGGACAAATGCGGTGAGTCCTCTCAGAGCAGGTATCTAGAGTAGTCGAATTCATAGGCCCAAAATTGGGACCAGGGGAAGCAGGGAGTGAGGAGCTGCTGGTCAATGGGTCTAAAGTTTCAGTTGGAAGAAATGAAAATGTTCTTTCTGGAGATGGATGGTGATGATGGTTACATAATGTGAATGGACTTAATGCTATAGACCCACAGGATTAAAAGTTCAAATGGTGGCTGTTTTGTGTGTACATTTGACTACAAACACAATGAGACATCACACTCACCAGAAAGGCTAGAATAAAGGCAGATAATAAGAAGTGGTCACATGTGGCAGGTGGCACTGTACAGCGGTGCAACTTGTTTGTAAAACTGCTGCTCAAAGGGTGAAGTATACAGAATTACTAGTGAATCAGCAATTCCACCCCTCGGTGTGTACCCAAGAGAAATAAAAACAGACGTCCATTCGTCCCACACAGAACCTGGCACAGATGTTCACAGAGGTTCACTGGCATTGGCCAAAAAGTAGAAATGCCCCAAATGTACATCAGCTGGTGCCTGGAGAACACAACGTGGTCGAAGCTATCCAAACGATGGCCTACTGAGCCACAGAGACGTGCAGGCATGAAGCACTGATGCTCGCTACGACTTAGATGAGTCCCGAGCACACAAGGATAAAAGGAAGAAGCCACAAGAAAGGCCCACATAACAGCAACTCCAAGTCTGTGACGGGTCTGGAATAGGCAAATCATTAAGGCAGGAAGTAGGTTTATGGTTGATGGGGTCTGGGAAGAAAGACAGATGGGAGTGACTACTAATGGGTACAGTAGGGTTCTCCTCAGAGTGGTAAAAATATTCTGGAGTAAGATAATGGTGACGGTTGTACAATGCTGTGAGTATACTAAACCACCACTGAACCGCACACTTTAAAAGGGAGAATTTTATGGTGAGTCAATTACATCTTGATTTTTTAAATCATGTCATTTTATTATCAGATTTTTTGCTATTTCTTTTAGATAAGTCACTAAAACATTTTTAGGAAGTCATAATAAAAGATGAATCCTGGGAATGATTACTGTTCATCTTATAAGAGGCACAATATTTTAACAAAAAATTAGACTGAAAAATATCAGATGCCACACTAAAACCATGTGAGAAGGGTTTTTTTTCCCCCAAAATTCTCTTAAAACTGATGCCAACAAAAATCCCCAATCACTGCAGTTTTAGATTTAGGGGCACGTGGCACTTTGGCTATCATTTTTGGTCTCTGCAGTGGCCACTGACACAGAGACAGAAGGAATCGCATCTGGACAACTCACATATTCCTGGACAACCAGGCACCAGCGCTGTCATCTTCACACCCCAAGGAACACCAGTGAAGCTCTCCCACTGGCTCTCCTGAAGCATCTGCTGCCTCGGCATGTTTAAGGAAAGGGGAAATCATCCATCTTCTCTACCCAACATCTCCCCAAACATTCCTCTTGCTACATGAACACAATATAACAGATGTTCTCTCTTGACTGTTGACTTTGATCAAATTGAGGAGGGTTCTTAGTTCTAATATACCCAGAAGTGAGAAAAATTAATTCAAATTAGTGAGTACTCCTCAGATGATATTTATATGCAGACAATGGATTTTTATATTTAAAGATTTGTCTAAATCTTTATTAGTGGTTCGTCTCAATTACTGCTTAAATTACTTTAAAAAATGTAGGGTAAAGGTTTAAAATACTAACCAAAGGTTTCATAAGGTTCTTCATCTTTCTCATTTTCATCCAGCTTGCCAGGGCTCGAGGTATCAGAAGTGTAATCAAATGCATTAGTGGGTTCGTGCTTTCGGCCAGCTCTCTGAAAGTGAACAGATCAGCGTCATTGAAACGACTCTAACAAAGAACACTGCAAGAACACGCCTGCTGCCTCTGTCACCTACAGACGCGATCCGGAACACTCCGGTGGGGGAGAAGGACATAGACTGCTGATGTAAACCATGGGGTGAAAAAATTTTCCTATAAAGGACCAGAGATTAAATATAGTAGACTTTGGAGGTCCTAAGTTCTCTTCAAAAGACCTTAAAAAGTCTCTCTGCCGAACTGTTCAACTCAGCCATTGTGGGGTGACAATGCAGGAAAAAGCAAGCCTGGCTGTGTTAAAACAACTGATGGATACTGAAATGGGAATTTCATATCATTTTCATGTCATGAGGTATTCTTGGTTTTATTTCAACCATGTGAAAACCACTCTTAGCTTGCAGGGCTGGACAAAATCAGGTGGTGGGTCAGATTTGGCCCCTAGGCTGCAGCGGGCCATGTCCCCAGGAGTACACCTGTATACCTGGAAGACTATAAACACGGTTCAAAAGTCCAGGCTGAAGGAGAGCGACCAGGGTTTACAGTTCACTGTGCTGACAAACCTCATGAGGTTTGTTACCACAAATCCTATCAAAAGACCAAAACATACAGAAAGGGAGAAATACTTCAACAGTAGCTGGGGAAAAAAGGAGAATGTACATTCACAGACAAGATGAGGAAATATGGGGAGATATAAAGGAGAGGGAATAAAGCTAACAAACAGAACAAAAGCATCGCCACTCACAGACCCTTAATGAAAGAAGTCATCCAGTCTTGGGGGCTGGAACGCCAAAAGCAGCCGACAGAGCCTCGATGCTCCCTGCGGCAAATGGGGCCGCCCGCAGGTAGACAACCCCTTCCCAAAGGAGGAAAGGAGAGCGGGATTCTGAAGAGACATTTGCAGATGCACTGGGCTTTCTGCTAAGGCCGGGGGTATGGGTAAAGGATCCCCGAGCACCCTGGTTTTCAGCCACCGGGGCAGAGAACTGAGACAGACCCATGCCAAAAAGCAAAGCACTAAGTCTGGGGGAGCGGAGAGCTGAGCAAAACCCGGCAGAGTATCCTGGGGCTTCCCAGAGAGAAGGGCTGTTTTGTATAGTTCTGTGATTTAAGAATGGTTTTCAGGGTCTCCCTGGTGGCGCAGGGGTTAAAGTCTCAGGGCCTTCAAGCTATCACAGGCCACGCAGCTGACCCACATGGCACAGCAGACCTCTCCTGTCTCGCCCGCTGCTCCCCTCAGCAGTGGATTTCCGTAGATCCGACTGTTCTGCTCCCCGCTCTGTCTCTGGTGAATCCTCTCACCTCCCAGCCCCTGCACCTCTGGCCTACACTCCAGTTCTTGTATGCATAAATAAAATAAATCTGGGCCCCCCCAGTGGCGCAGCAGTTGAGCGCTGGGCTGCGAAGCTGCCCACAGCCTCTGCAGCGCCGGTTCGATCCCCGGCCACAGAGCGAGGGTCCCACATGGCGTGCAGACTTCTGCCACCTGCTGCTCCCCTCAGCAGTGTACTTCGGTCCTTCTGCCTGCTCTGCTCCCCGCTCTGGCTCTGGTGAATTCTCTCACCTTCCCGCGCTTCTGACTGTACCCAGTGCTTGTATAAATAAGTAAAAAAATAAAATAAATAAATAATGAAATTCCAATTTCATTATCCGTAAGGTTTTACCTTCAGAGTAAAAGAGTCACCCTCGGGGGACTGGGGCTGCAGGTGGAGAGACCACACAAGACAGAGGACTTGAGGCGCAGGACAGAGCAGGGAGCACCCTGGCTCCAGGAGCCCCAGGAAACAGCTCCTTTATAAGGCTCCAAGACCAACCACGTGAGCCGTGGAAAGCTAACTTGGCTTAGCTCCCAAGGATTTAAAGAAGTGTACTTGCCTTTAATAAACATTTATCCTAAGTAAAACTATAACGTTGCCTAATTGGAATATTAGGAAATCAAACAGTGGTTGAAAACCACGAAGCTAGAAATAGCTAGAAATAGCTAGAAGTAACTGCAACTTTTACATGTCAACTATCCAAGTAAATAAAACCAACTTTGGCCCAGAAAAAAAATGTTAACAGTGGTCTTTTTCTCCAAAATTTTGGTAAATGTGGGAAAAGGAATATACTTTTTCACTACAATAAAACACTGAGCTTACCAAGTGAGGACTATGAAACTGAGGTGCCCACAAAATTCTGTATTGTCAATGATGGGAAATTACAGTAAAATGTAAAAGGATAACTCACATCATCCGTGGAATGCGCTCTTCCGAAAGTATTCTTGGAATATCTCGCACTGTCAAACAGCAAAAACACAGAGTTAGGAAATATTTAAAATTATTGAGGAAAACACTAACTTGCAACGCTGTTTTGAGGTAACAGAAAAATACATACAGGTCTCCGTCCTGGCTGCAAGCACAGCATTCCTGACACTCTTGTAAAAGTCTAAGTGCTAAGAACACCAGGAGTATCCTTGGTATAGTGGGGTGACTCTGGGTAGGCTCATGATGGAGAGTGGGCCCCCAAAAGACCAAACCACGATGAGAAGCTTGGAGTTTTCACCTGCACTTCATTCTTCATAGAGGCTCAAAATGCATGCTTGTCAGGGAGCCTCCATAAAATCCCCCCAAGTAGGAGTTTCTAAGAGCTTCCTGGTTGGTGAACACCTCCATACTGGGAGGGTGACGCACCCCAACTCCACTAGGACAGAAGCACCCCTGCCTCCCCGGGGCTCTTCATCTGTATCCTTTATCATGTCCTTTAACAAGGTGGGAAGCAGAAGGAAGTGCTTCAGAGATCTGCAAGTTGCTCTAATTGGTCCAACCTAGGGAACCTCCAATTTGTAACCAAATTGACAGACATGGATAAGCTGGGAGCCTAGTGCTTTTGACTGATATCAGTAGACTTGTGGGAATGAGTCCTTAACTTGTAGACTTTGAAGCTGTCTCTGGGAGGAGAGGGTCAGAATGAAGTTGCCGGGTACCTGCTTCGTGTGGTAGAAACCCACACACACAACTGGGTGCAGAGCATGACACCTTCCCAAGCATTTCAAATTACATTCTTCATTAGCTGCATTAACAGTGTATGTTCAATGATGTTCAGGTGATGGCACTATCCTTTTAGAAAGCAGAAGCCATGTTTCACTTAATTACATTTTTATAGGTGAAACCACATCACTAGTGTATAAACTCACATAACCTCTCTCCCTCAGAAACATGGAAAATTCCCAGTCTTGCTTTTTTCCTTCTCTTGGAGGGTCCAGTCAATAGCAATGGCTGTTTGTGCAGAATTCAGCAAAAGGGAGGCATACTACCATTTACAAAGCACTAGCACTCGGCATACTAACATTTACTAAGCACTATTTACTAACATTAACTAAGCACTCGGCATACTAACATTTACTAAGCACTATTTACTAACATTAACTAAGCACTAGGCATACTAACATTTACTAAGCACTATTTACTAACATTAACTAAGCACTAGGCATACTAACATTTATTAAGCACTGTTCCATCCCGGGCCTGGCTCACAAGCATACGTTTTTCACTTAGCACTAAACATGCCATAGGCAGGCGTGAATCCCATCTTACAGCTGTGGATTTATTCACAGCAACACTTGGCCAGGAAGGAGAGAAGGCTGCATTAAAAACTACGTCAGCCCAAATCCAGAGCCTGCTCTTTCCATCCCTTCAAGTCCCCTCCATTGGGCATTAGAAGGATACAGCTGTGTATCTTCACCATTATAAAGTAAACGAGGTCAAACAACACTGACTAGGGTTAAAAACTGGAAATCAGAGAAGCAGGAGATGATAGCCACAGTGTGACCCAGGACTCTACAATTCTCTGGGAACACACTTGACCAGTACCGTGCACAGTCCCTGACTATTAGTTCAATAAACATGAGCTTAGCTTGTGATAATGCCCATTCTGTGTTTGCCCTTGTTAATTGCCTTTTTATACACTTTCTTTCCTGGATGCTTTGTCATTTTTCCAGCCCAAGAAAACAAAGTCAGTTCTTAGTATACAAGTACATTCACCACCTTGGCCTCACCCTATCACTGACAGGAGAAGGGGGTAGGGTGCCCCCAAATTCTACATGCTTCTGACAACACTCCCATCACTGTTGCCTCCAACTTCAAACACACTGTGCAGATATTTGTGGATGGCAGAATCAGTTTAATGCATCTAAACTAATATTTCATTGAGTAATACTTTGATAGAATTTCCAATTTTCAGAGAATTCACAAGAATAGTTTAAGATCCTTCTGTATACCCTTTGCCCAGGTTTGTCAACTGTTTACATTTTGTCTCATTTGCTTTGTATGTGAGTGGTAACCTACAGACACTGAGTAACTAGAGACACTGTGCACCCCTAAACACGTGTGCATCTTTCCTAGGAGGGCATTATCTTGCGTAGTCACTACACTATTTCCAAATCAAGAAATTCAACATTGGCATGATGATGTAAATTCCAGTCCAGCTCCAAATTTCAACGGTTGCTCTATAATAGCCTCTAAGGTCTTTCCCCAATATTTAAAAAAGGAAATATTAGAGAATATAAGACATAAGATTGACCTGGATTGTCCTGGATATGAGCTACTGCGTGTAGATGCGCAGATGTGTGCTATAATGTAATAAACATTATTATGAAAAACAGGAAAAAAAGTAGAAATTGCTTGCAGCTGTAGATCTTCAACTTTGGGCATCAGAATCACCTGCAGGGCTTGTTAAAACAGACTGTTGGCCCCATTCCCAAAGGGTCTGCTGGTTTCATTTCTAACATGTTACCAAGGTTCATTTAGTTGTCAAAACCCACAGAGACAGGTAGAACAGGTATTCATTTTATGGCAATGATAATTCTGTTAGTTCCATGATATACGAATGGTCACAGCCACGTAACAGAAACAGGGCTAGAAATCAGATAACGTAACTTCTTAACCTAAATTCTTTCTACTGTCTCTTGCTTGTGCTAAAAAAATATGGTCACATTTCCTCCTTACCTTAGGCTAGGAGCAGGAAGGGGCTTTCAAAAGATGGAAACCTTTGTAAATCCATATGTAAGATTTTTGGTGTATTTGTTCCAGTGCTTTTTAGGGGAGGAATAAACAGATTTCATGAGTCCCGGAGGCAAAATGTAGTGTGTGGGGGGTGGAGGGAAGAAAAAATTGAAAACCCAAAGCCACTGGCCTAACAGTTTAACTCTCCTCAGCTGGCCTTCAATGCCTTTGTTCTGTCCAAATCCTCTTCTCCTTTAGGGGAGTCTTCCCCGCTTCCATACTGGCCACAGGAGTCTAGACTGTTTATTCCAAATCTACACTCTGTCCTGCTCCAGCCTTCCCCACTCTCTCCTTAACTCATCTTCTACCTTCACCCTGCATCTACAAATGCCCCCTTCTCCAGGCAGTCTCCCCACAGCCTAGGCACGACTCCCCCATGCGTGACTGTACCCAGCATTACCAACGCCAGACCTTTCCAGCCTGGCTAAGTCTGAGCCTCTGACTTGCCCTAGGTGCGGCCAACAAGGTGTTTGTCAGTGAAGCCATGGAGAATAACAGTTAGGGAGCAGTTTATTTAAAGATGCACACCCTTTGTTAAAAAATTGCATGACGCGCCCTGGTGCGCTTCTTTAAGGATAGGAAGGGGTGGCCTGATCGCCCCCTCTCCCCTGCCCCCGCCCAGACAGTGTTTTAGTTCAGCTTTTCAGTCTGTGGTTTGAATTACAAAAACAGATGGACCTTGAAAATAAAAATATTACAAGGAATGTGACGACTATAAGTACTTGCTAGATACTTTGTTTCAAAATAGTTTGAGATTCTACTGGTCCAACCACTATGGAGAGCTGTGTGGAGAGTCCTCAACCTGCTAAAAATGGAGCTTCCATATGATCCAGCAATTCCACTCCTAGGTATTTACCCAAAGGACACAGAAACATCAATTCCAAAGAGCACCTGCACCCCTGTGTTTATAGCAGCACTGTTTACAATAGCTAAGCTTTGGAAACAGCCCAAATGCCCAAAAATAGATGACTGGATCAAGAAGATGTGGTCCATATACACCATGGAATATTACTCAGCAATCAAAAAAGATAAACACATGCAATTTGCAGCAACATGGATGGAGCTAGAAGGGATCATGCTCAGCGAAATAAGCCAGAAAGAAAAAGAAAAATACCGGATGGTCCAACTCACAGCAGGAATTTAGAAAACCTAAATAAGGGACCAGGAAAAAGGTAATTACAATAAATAAATCAAAATCAACAAGCAACTATAAACCAGAGACACACTTGGAGGCGGGGGTAGGCTCAAAACAAGTAGGGTGGTAATTGTATGGGGAGTATAACCAAGCTGAAAATGCAAATTGTGCAAAGTGAAAAATAATGTAAAAAGTACATAAAATAAAATAATTTTTAAAAAATGAACAATGATGTAAAATAGAAATAAATTTTAAAAATTAAAAAAAAAAAGTTTGCGACTCCAGGCAACACCCGCCCCCACACAGCAATGCCAGCTGGGGCGTTCTTCCTGCCCAGCGGGCACAGTCCTGGACTCCAAGTCCTCTAACGGCCGCCCCATCCCCCCCGGCCCCCCGCGTCTACCCCCCCGCCCCCCCGCCCCCCCCCCCGGAACGGCCGCCGCAGCCGGGACGCCGGGCCGAGGCCCCAGGTCTGGGAGGCCCACAGCGGCGGAGGCTCCGGACGTCCCCGAGGCGCCGCCGCGGCAGGGGGGCCGGAAGACAGAGCCGGTCACCGGGCCCGCGTCACGGGGTCCCCAGAACTTACCCCGCGCGCCCCCGGGGTCCCGCCCGCCGCGGCGAGGCCATCGGCCCAGGTAGCTCCCGCGCAGCGCAGCCCGCGAAACTCCCGCCGGCCCCGGCCGCCCCGGCGACCAATCAGGGCGGAGCGGGCGCCCCGCCCCCTCCCGGGCCCGGCCCGGGCTCCGCCCCTGCCGGAGCTCGAGGGAAAACCCGGTCTGGCTTCAGCACGAATGCGGAGCTGGACTCCGCGCATCACAGCTGCTTGACGGTCGAGGATTTGCCGGGTTTTCCCTCCACACGCGAGAAGGGTGGACCCCGCCTCCGGGGTGATGGAAGGGGAGGACCCCCCCTCCCCGCCTTCCACCCCCACCCCGCACCAGTCAGGGTGGATCCGAACTCTGGTGGGGATTCATGCAGCGTGGGCCCTGGAGCAATGTCTACACTAAGGCTGCACCAAATGGACAGGCTTTGGAGTCTAGTCTGTTGCTGTTTTTCACCAGTGGCGGAAGCTTAGCATGTTGTTTTTACTTCTATCCCAGCTTTTTTCATTGATAAATGAGGAGGATCTCTTCTGCAACTAATCTTTTCTGTTTAAAAATGTATTATCATTTTTGATTGCTGAATAATATTCCATTGTGTACATGTGCCACATCTTCTTGATCCAGTCGTCTATGTTTGGGCATTTGGGTTGTTTCCAGGTTTCACCTATTGTAAATAGTGCTGCAATAAACATAGGGGTGCAGGTGGTCTTTTGAATCAATGTTTTTGTGTCCTTTGGGTAGATCCCTAGGAGTAGAATTGCAGGGTCATATGGTAGCTCCATTTTTAGTAGACTGAGGAGCCCCCACACAGCTTTCAACAATGGTTGGACCAGTTTGCACTCCCACCAGCAGTGCAGGAGAGTTCCTTTTTCACCACATCCTCGCCAACATTTGTTGTTGCTTGTTTTTTTGATATGTGCCATTCTTACTGGTGAAAGGTGTGGTTTTGATTTGCATTTCCCTGATGATAAGGGATGTTGAACATTTTGCAGCCGTAGCAGCAACGTGGATGGAGCTAGAAGGAATTATGCTCAGTGAAATAAGCCAGAAGGAAGATGAAAAATTTCAGATGGTTTTACTTATAGCATGAATATAGGAGAACCAAATAAGACATCAGTGTAAAAAATAATAACAGTACAAAACACAACAAAGCAAAAACAGACAATTATAAACCGGAGACACCCAGCAGGGGAGGAGGAGGGAGAGGGATCAGAGGGAGGGAGAGAGGAGCACAGGGGACTGAGGTGATGGTGCACAGGGGCCTTGGGGAAGGAAACTCTATAGGGACTACACCTGAGGGGGTGGGGAGGAAGCAAATATTGTTTAAAAAGGTACAATGATGTAAAAAAATTTAAAAATACTATAAAAAAATAAAAATGTATTACCGTAGGAAAGAATACTGTTGGACTGTCACCACACCATGCATATCAGTGAACTCAGACTGGATAAAAGATGGAAATATATGAACTAGAACTACAAAATCCTTATAAGGAAACATAGGACATAGTCTTCTTGACTTTGGATGTTGCAATAATGTCTTGGATAAGACGCCAGAGTCAAAGTTTGAGATGATAAAAAATTTCTGGTGAGGGAGAGTGGTGACTGCGCAACCGTGTGAAAGCACGTAATGCCACTGAATTCTCTGTAAAAATCAGAATGATCAATTTTGTTGTGTGTATTTTACTGCAATAAAAATTACATGTTTCATGCACAAGAAATAGGTAATAAGCAACACTCGTGTACACCCCACTGGATCCAGAAAGAAATCATTACACACATAACTCTGGGCCTGACTGAATGGGACTCTTCCTCCAAGGATAACCACGCTTATGATTTTGTGTTTACCAGTCCCAAATAATGTATTAGTTATTGTGTGTTTTGGAAATTTATTCAAATGATATTTGGTATGTAATCTGCAAGTGTTCTTACTCAAAATGCTTTTTAGATTTATCCAGAGTAATGCATTTAGCTGTACTTCATTTCCATTGTCTTTTGAATGTATTATGTAAATAGCCATACTTTTTACCCATTTTCCTGGGCTTGGGTGCATCAGCTGTTTTCAATCTCTTTGCTGTTACCAAAATGCCCGCCTAATGTAAGATGGAACATGTGAGCAAACTCTGAGGAAATTCAGAGATGGAGAACAGGTAACTATCGGGAGATAGAGGATGTCCACATGGTGAGTCCTTAGTTTTATTATATGCATTCATGTTTGGAAAAAGGAAAAAAAAAACCCTATTGCTTTTGTAAGATACTATGAGAACTCAAGAATACAAAGCATCATATCCTTGGAATAATGAGTGGTTGGGCATGAACATTTTGTTGTGAAAATACATATATTCCCTGTGGAGTAGGTATATATGTGTATTAATTCCATATTTTGGAACTGTTTGATCTATAAATGAGAATATAAACAAGAATTTATTATTTATCTTGCAGGATTATGAAGATAAGCGGTAAAGAATATGGTGGTTCGTGTGTGTGTGTGTGTGTGTGTGTGTGTGTGTGTGTGTGTTATTTTTTACTGTGCCTCTGCTTTTTTCTAGTGAGCCCCTCTATTGAATTTTCTGTTCGGTAATGTGCCCGCTAGAGGGCAGATAAAGAAAGGAACTAGAAATCTCACATTCTAGTTGGAGACCAGAGCTACTCATTTTCATGCATTGTAAATAATGACTCAAAGGCAGCAAAAGATTAGTAAGACTAGATATCCTAACTGCCCTTGCTTAACTCATTTTTCCCCTTCCTGATCATCATCTTCTTTCACAATTTATCAAATTCATTTCTGAAAATTTCCCTTAAGGCAGAGTAACATTTTCTATTGTGGAAAAGAAAGTCATTTATTTCCCAAATTTTCCTAGTTTCTTGTTTAACTTTCTATAGCGCCTACTAATTTTGGGGTACAGAGGAATAATCCACTAAACCTGGCAGTTCTCACCAGGAATAAACTGAAGGCGTTATCTGTTTTAAACAGACCAACTGCTCAACCTCTGTAACTATGACAGTGCAAAACAAACCCAAAACGTCCCAGAGGAGGAAAGGGTGGGGCAGGGCTGAAGGAGAGCTTCACTGGGCTTCTCTCTTTAAGAAAAAGAGGAAACAACATTCAGAAGGAGGTATTCTGTGGTAGGACTTACTTAAAGTGGGAGGGCAGATGTTTCCGTTGTAGCAAAGAGCAATGGCATTAGATTCCTTCACATGTCACACACTTCCCAACACTCCCCTGGCTGTTAACCTGACTACTGAGCTTGCTCTGTCACGAATGTTCTGCTTTTTTCCAGACCTCACTGGCACTGCTCCTACCCAAGCTGAGATCACATGGCTAAATAGGTCTACATCATGAAGACGCAATGTCACATGTTTCAGATTCCGTTCCCAGCTCCCTGCGGGGCCGAGAGTCTGTGCAGGAATCCTGGCAGAAGCATTGTAGCAAAATCCAGGATTTCTCTAGTTTAGGAATAGGCGACTTCTAACCTGCTATTTTATAACTTCCAAATGAGTTCTAAGAAATCCAAATGATTTGAGAAAGGGAAAAGAAAAAGAAAAAACATCCCCCCCCCCCCAAAGAAAATATGTCTTAAGGAAATAAGATGTCTATAACAGAAACTTAGCTCGGTGATTCTCTGAAGCGATGGTCAAAACAGAACTTTTTTTTAACAGTCGGAGTTCTTATATTTTTCCACCCTGCTCATGCCGTGACTTCACGGGGTGTGGGGTCCATCAGCTCAGGCTTTTTACTGGTCTTTAAAATGTGTGCTACTTTGGGTGCAACGGGTTGGCGCTGCAGTTGACCACAAGAACCTTTCTCTCTGGCTTGGTTTTTTTCCTGAACATTTCATTCACACGTAAGATTGC